CGGACGGTTGACCCTGGTTTGGGGTGCAAGAACGACTTTCATTTCTGAACTTCATGGAAAATTGGGTTAAATCAGTCGGGAATATCTTATTTAAACATCCACATCTTTGGATCTCGCTATTATTTAATATGCACATTTATATGTACTTTTATTTGTTCTCTGCCGTTTTACGATGAAATCGGTCGAGGAAACGGCAACGGCTCGTCGAGGATTTTCGCTGTCACGCTCTCCCGCGCGGATATTCACTCTCGCCACCCGCGAGCCGTCTGTGCTCTCCGCGCGTACATTCACTCTCGACACTACTCTCGCACAGTAGAGAGCCATGGTCGAGGAATTCCTCGACCGTTATTCACCCTGTTTCCGTGTTATTGCGTTTTAAGGTTTCATATTTTTTTATATCCAGCTGGATTCTAGGGGAAGTTACTCAAACGCTTTCTTCAGCGTCGAGGAGATATAGGAGTATTTCAAATTTTGTCTCGAGCATGACCTGCACGCTGTTTGTTGAGGCTCTCAGCCGGCATCATCATTAAGATATCGCTTATCAGTTCCGCCAGATTGTCTGAGACGCTAAGTAAATAAACCAACGACAAATATATAATTTCAGACGGAAATCTCCGACTGGGACAGCATCGATAATCTGGATCGGTTGCCATCATTGACAGATCTACGAGTACTTGCCATTCCATTGTTGGAATCGCTGACGGAAGAGGAACGAACTCATCTGGTCATTGCCCGAGTTCGTAATCTTCGTGTACTGAATGGGTCGATCATTACACCCGAGCAACGGGAGCAATCTGAGCGTTACTTTATTCGTTATTATCAGGTTCGTCTTTTGTTTGCGTTCGCCTCGTCCAGATGGCCTTTGTCGGCGTCTTTTGACGCAGCAGGAAAGCCGCCCGTCGTCATTCTACACCCATTACAGGATCGAGACGATAAACCGCACCATTACAAGCGTCTCATAGAAAAACATGGCCATGTCGAACGACTGGCTAAAGTAGATCTTACACCTAAATCGACTGCTCACGTGCAGGTGCTTTGCGAGGAGACCAACTATCAAGCCAAACTCCGTATCAATCTTAACAAAAGCGTCGGACAACTGATGAAGTAAGTTGCGCCTATCCTGGGCTTAGCTACGGTAGCAATTGCTTATAGAATGGTTAAATAAGGGATAAAAGGGGGTGGGAACGTTCAATGAAAGGGAAGGGAGCGGTGGCGGATGCACGAACGACGAAAACATGCATGCATTATGAAGAAAGGCCGCTCAGGAAGATTCGTGTGACAAAATGCAAAGAGTAATTGTCTTACACAATTCTGGAAGAGATGAATTATCTCCTTAGGAGTCTTCTGTCCTTCTTTGTTAGGGGTTTTTGGTTATCTGCTCCTTCTACCGGAGCATTATACATGACTATTGAAAATCGATGTGGTCAGCACGTCCTCCGCAAATATGCTGACTTATTCATTATTGGTGTAAGTCATAATGGGCTGTGCTAATGTTACTTATTGTTCCTAACGTTCTAGTCCGAACCCAATTACCCGATCCGAACGCGCCGCTACCGGCAACCGGTTGACCCAGTTTGACCCACGCGGAGCGAACATGCACCTGATTGCTGTAATTGCTAAGCGTTTAACTGCTGCTGTCAGCACTGTTCTATTTCTTTTGATGGTTTTTTGGAGAGAGCAGGGCAGAAAGAAAGAGTGAGAGGGGCAGAGAGGGGACAGAGTGAGAGGGGCAGAGAGGGGACAGAGTGAGAGGGGAAGAGAGAGAGGGTAGGAGAAGACCAACGCCATAGAAAATATGATATTTTCGATAAGGACAGAAACTAAACCTTGGTCTTAGCCAAAAGGTCGAGAAGCGATATCTTAAGTTTTGTGTCATAAAGGCTAGTAGCTACCTTCATTATTGTTCTGAAACTTGTTTCGAAAGCTTTTTGCAAGGATGTTTCTCAAAACAATCTTCATGGCTTAGTGAAGTCATTTCTACGTTTTGCAGATCGCTGGAGAAGCAGTGTGGCATACCGTATTCACGGCTACGAATGTTTCTCACGACGAAGGATGGCTGGGTTGAGGAGTTCCGATATCCTGGCATGTCATTGCACAGTTATCGTATCGAAGACGATGACGTTCTCAATTTGCAGGTGTGTCTCGTGCCGTCTTTGTCGCGATGGTCCGATTACGCTTTCGAGAGATCGCAAGGGCCTTCGGCAAATATTGTTCAGATTGCGTGTATGTATAGGCCAGCATTAGAGAAGCGATGTGAAGCGATACAAGCGCAATGCTTTCAAGTGCCATTCACCTCGTCCCGGGGACTTGAGACATGTCGAGGACGAATCGAGCGTTTTTCGCAAGGGTGTGCCTCGTCGAGGATATTTTGCTGCCATCCCTGCGCTTCCCTCATTTGTACCAATTTGTGGGCGACTCTAGCCATTCAAGTGTGTTTTGGCGCGGCGGTCGCAGATATACGCAGAGGGCATGTGTGTGTATGTGACTTGTTGCGTCGGCTATGGCTTTTATGATGGTGGCCATTAAGTATGCCATGAACGGACATGTTGCACGCGTAAGCCGTCCAATCCACCTGCCTATGCCCTTTGGAACCGGTCCTGTCTCTCGATATTTTAGGACAGACACCGCCGTCCACGCAGTGTCCGCTGGCGCACCAAGTGCGCTGTTTCTGGCTTCTAAAAAACCTGTTGTGGCTCTCGGGCAAATATTATTGGACGCTTCTGGATTTATTGGCCTCATTCGAGAGCGCAGAATTTAATAATAGGGACACGTCTCGTAAGGAATGCTGCATGTCAGCTCGGCTAGTAATATTTACTATTCTATCTAGATGATAGTTGATATTGCACATAATTTTCGCAGCGATAAGAGGATTACGAAAACCGAAGGAAAGCAAACTTTTCAATCGATACCAGGAAAATAACGAGTAGTTCATTCACTATTCGGTATGTCTCGTAAACATATGGTCCTAAAGTGAAGTGTATCTGCTTTTTGGTCAGCACCAGATGTACTAAAAGCGTCCGCAAGAGGGATAAGTTCGCGCATGAGAGCTATGTGGATGAGGAGACCGAGGGGGTGTAGGGAATGAATCCTGGCGCTGTGAAATAGATGGGCGAACCCAGAACGCCGAGAGTGTAAAGCAAAACAAATGAGGAGCGTAGGAAAGCTTCCCGTCATTCAGCATTGTCATTATTTATGTCAATTTCGTATGCAAGCGAGCGTGGACGTATACTGATGAGCCTACGAGTAGATTCCCACGATATACAGGAATCTGTGGTCTTATTGAGATCCCCAGCCATCGTGTAAAGCTACTTTTCTTAGCATACCCCTTTAATTTTTCAAAGAAGTAATGAACAAGTTTTCATCTGAGGGTGAAAATGGAGTTGGGGGAGGTACTCCCTGCTATCTTATCCATTGTATTAAACAGCACTTCGGGTTCGCTAACGTCAAGATGAGGTAATAGGTAACCGATCATTCTATGTGTACATTTATTAAGGACCGATAAGTGCTCTTCATCCCTATTCCTCCTAGGCATTTTTGGCACATGCTCATCCACCCTGCGCCTCTTCCACCCTTAGTCTTAAGGAAGGATGTCCTTCTTTCCGACTCGGATTATTTCCTTGAACCACTGCGGGCTGAATTGTGATGTCCATTCTCCTCGTACGAGAGTCCATAAGTACTACTAGATGTTCTGTTGTTTTAGCACTCAGTCCGATGAGGAAGCTGGTGATGAGAAAGCTGCTACTTCATTTAATTTATAACCACCTACTCAGCGAGCCCGAACTTGTGGTCAGAGCGCTTGTCCCGGATGTGCATAAAGGAGCGGGTCAGAGGTGCTGAGGACACCTGTGAAATTCAGTGGAAAATATCTACCCCTTCTTTCGATTCGAAAAAAAATGAGAAGAGCGTCGGGTGCAGACCATACACCACAAGTGACGACGGCCTCCAAGTAAATCTGGTTAGTAGTGGTTCATAGTGATAGCTGATTTTTGGTAAATGATAGTTGTAATTAGTGACAACTGATAGAATACAACTGCAACAGGCTAATCATTTCATTGGCAGAAAACATTTACATTTTGTGGAGGCCGTCGTCACTTGTGGTGTATGGTCTGCACCCGACGCTCTTCTCGTTTTTGAAAGGGAGGGTATTGAGCTCGCTCGCTTTTTTGTGCAATCACAGTTTAAATCTCCGTGCACTACTTGTAAACAAGTTCCACATATCTCTGAACGCGGGGCTCCCCGTTGAGTCACACGACCGTCGAAGGGATGAGAAGAACTTCACGCTGGAATACACTCTCCGTTGCACTCACGCCAGAAAAGCCAGCTAACGAGTTCCCCATACAAGTTTCCAGCGAATCGAACATCTGAATAGAATACGGCAAGCATTCGAAAACAGATTCACGCGCTAGGAAACTATGACCCGTTTGTGTATGAAAAACTTCAGGCATTACTGTAACAAGAAGGACTTCAAGGTCGTTCTGAAGAAGAGAACCACTCAAAAGAGAATGTGCATTGGGTTGAGGGCTATTCCGCATAGCGGACCAACATAGAATAAGAAGGGCTTCAACCGTTCTCTAGATTCATTTCTCCGGGATCTGACTTATATGCTTGGATGAGTGGGAGTGGAGTTTGGGGGACACCATATTCTGCTCCAGTAATAAAAGTAAGGATAGGAGCACTCATGTCACGTAATCGACTCATTTAAAATATACTTCTAATAGGGACCGATATAATGTGGTGAGGACTCCTGAGGTGCTTTCGAATTCGCCCTGCAGTGGTCCACGATCAATCCTTATATTATTGAGTTTTCTGGAATGGGCGACCCTTGCTCCATGGAAAGGATCCGCATACTACCCTCCCCTCCACCTTCAACGTTTGGTAATTTTAATAGGGTGAAGGTAAAATCCACTTTGCCTCACTGAAGTAGTCTCCGTAGTTGCAGAGGTTCGCCATCGAAACGCCTCATTAGGACGCTAGGCGCTAAAAGCTTTGGTCAAATCCCACCCAAGAGAATCAGGGCCCGCCCACCGTTCAATCTCTTATTTGCGTCGCAGCATTGATCTGTTATGCTCTTTTGTTTTACCCCTTCTCCTCTACTCACATTATCTCTCATCTTCGTCCGCCTCCTAGACTTTTCCGTAGCGTAGAGCAAGAAGGCTCGTATTTTCGATTTTTTTTGGCGACTTTATCTTCTTTTTTCTCCATATGCAGTCCACTTCGCATCCCACTCATCATCTATTTGAGTGGGATTACCACGTCAGCTAAATTCTGAGTCTTGCCTTCGAACGTGCCATCACTTGACATGCTCCCCCACTGTTCTTTTGCTCAATGAAAGAAAACAACCTTCAATTACAAATGAGAATCGTTTCTAAAATCGCCAAACGCGATTGCCACCCCGTCAAAAAAATCTAAGCGGCCCGTTTGGAATTTTTCAACGAAAAGTTGACCTTGTTTATTTTTTTATTTACAATCATAACAGTGAAAAATAGTAGATAAGTGGAATTGGGATGGCACAATATTGATTGACTCAAAGTTCAGCTTAGTGTTTTGGGGTTAAGGAAAAAAGCCAAGTTTGACCCAATATGACTACATAGAGGACCGATAAGTGGCCATTCTTTAGAACATGGGACGACCTGCCCATTTTCTATTCTACTTATCAATTAAGTACCGAGGTGTATGGAACGTTCCTTAGTCAGATGTAATGTCTAAGAAGGTCTCCTTTCTGAACTCGGGTTGTTCACAAAGTTAGCGGCTGCTTTACCCTCCCCCTGTTTCAGCTTCATAGCTTTCGGTGCTACTTTTGTGAAACAGTATCATAGATTTGGAACAAGTGGCGAACTTCGCTAGTTCTATTATTTGTTTTCATGATGTTAATGACTTCGCTACGACATTGATATTGTTGTTTGTATAACATAAGTAATCGATACCAAATGGTCAGGTGTTGGGTTTCAATGTCAACCAGGTGTCAAGCATAGAGAGAAAATTGTGCTTGCTTTCAGTCAAAGATTGTCTCCACACGTCGCCGACCATTACACAAGACCGGCACATGAAATGATGCGAATGCGAAGGTGTGTGGAGCAATGATAACGAGGAAATAAATTTCAAGGTCATCCACATCATCATGATCATCAGCTGATAGTCATCCCTGAATCAATCAATATTATTCTCATTGCCTCAAATTTTCCGTTCTTTCAGGGATTTGTACAGAATTTTGTTGTGTATCATTGCAGTGTCTCTAGCGCTTCTAGTTCTGTTCACATATTTCGCCTAGGTCGTCGCCGTAGTTGAACGACGACGATTTCTTAGCCTCGAACAGCCTTGTCTACTCTACTTTTTAGTATAGAGAACCAGTCTGTGATGTGATAGTAAGTCTAGTGTCTTTCTTTTCAGTCGTCGTATGTTTTCTACTTGTAAGTACTGGTTTTGATGTGACATTTCAGTGAATATTGTCACACAAGGTCATTTCCTGATCTTTTTGTACAGAAATAGCCTGCAGAGTACATACCTGAGCTGGATGTAGTGTTTCATTGTCATTATGTACATAAATTTATTTTTGGACGCATCTGCAACTTGTTACGCCAGGATTTGATTGACCCGGTATTCTGTTCCTTATCATTTCTTTTACTCTCGTCGTTATTTCACGTGTACATATGACCAAATTCATGGTGACGATTTGTACAGTGAAAATTTGAGCGAACACTTTGATAAATACATTGAATTATGATTTACATATAAAATTTCATCTCACGTGGAGAATGGAGAGAAGTGGTGTCCTAAATAACACCCCAGGTAAGCGCCACCCATCTACGTTTAGTTGTGAAAGGAGAGGCATCTGAACCGAATCCTACCTGCGCACCAGCATACAGACAATCCACGATTGTTTGTTGCAATAATTCCTTTTACCGTTAAATGTTTTCTTCGCAACCGCGGAGTTAATACTACTCTCACGGCTCGCAACTACGTGGCAGGGTCGGCTGAGGTTTGTGAGTTTAGGCTCCGGCCGCTCACCATTGCAAATGTGATGGTGTCTGCGTCTCGCTTGTCCCTATGCCCTCTCGTCTCATCGCCCTTCTTTCTTTCCAAACTCCCCAAGGCCAACACAGTGAAGTGCTTGTTCACCTTTTTGGCGCTTTCTTTCCTTTTTTCTTTACCATACATATTTTCGTTCGACAAGTTGGTTGGCGTGAAAGGGATTGAATCCACATCTCACGGTTCTTGGATCCACAGCACCATCGAAGGCACACCATTAATTAACTAAAACAATTGAGTCTTCACTAAATACGACAACTATTAAAAATTTGGGATTCATTCTGTGGTTCTAACGATCAATACGCATAGTTAGTGAGCGCATTGTTGCACCGTGCAAATGGTCAGCGAGGCGCATTCATGCAGCAAACAACGTTCACAATGGTTGCTCTCGTTGGCCGATTCTGCGGCATTCTATGAATGAGAAAGGTTTTTCAGCAACAACTGAGTTCCGAGTAGCGAACTGAGCCACTGAAAGTGCAAATAACAATTCGTGTGCTTTTCAGCGCTGTTCAAAAAGTACATCAAACATGTAATTATTTTTCAACGCTTTTGAGAAATCGATTTCCATGGTAACGACACATTCCAGGCAAAAAAGCTATTAGGCAGAAATCCTTCCATGAACTGCTAAGTACAGGCGTCGGACAGCTACGTCAGGGAAGGGAACAGTAAACAGCGTAGGGAAAGAGCTCTTTTGTTTTGAGAACTTGCCAGTCCTAACGTGATTCCTGAAAAGGAACAGAGGGGCTAAATATAAATATAAGGGCTTAATATAAGGGCTTAAGGGCTAAATATATAACTGGCAGTGATTATTCCTTAGGCAGTTGCTGGTCTACTTTGAAGACCTCTTTAGCGAATGTTTGGGTTACATACCCTCTATTTCGGAAGACGAGAAAAGCACCGAGTGCAGACAACACACCACAAGTGACGACGACCGAGAAAAGGAAACCACATTTTCTCGGACCGTCGTCACTTGTGGTGTGTAGTCTGCATTCGACGCTCTTCTCATCTTCGAAATAAAGGGTAGGTAACCCGTGCAGAAATTAAGTATTACAGAATACAAACACAAAAAGTACCACAAACTAGCAGTTGTGACTTGATTTAAAAAAACGGTTCAACTGATGAAATTTGCACTATTACGAGCAAGGTGTGCGATTTGGCCTCCAGAAATCCTGCCTCGTTTGGTGAGGAGAAGAGCAAGGCCAGCCAGTGCTTCATAAACAAAGTTTTTAGGAAGTTATTCCGGCGTCCTACCGCGTTTACTTTGCTTGCTTCACGATTTTACTTTTGAAAGGCAGGCCAAGTAAGCAAATAAGTGTAAGCAAGAGAAGAAACACAGGTTTGTTACCGTCACATCACTCACAGATGTGTCTCCCAAACTAACGGCTGTATCTGCTTACTACATAGTTCCCAATCCTTTTGATCCCTTCTGGATTCTCTTATCTAAGTTGTACATTTCCTCCTGTTGGACCAGTCGCAGTTGCAGACTTGGTAGAATGCATCACGTGGCATGAACAACGAAGCACAAAACGGTTGTGATAGACGTCGTCGCGGAAACAGAGTTTGTTTACTGGCGAAAACAAAAGGACAGCTGGCGACCTATGAGCAAATTTCGTCTGGTCTTATTGGATCCTTTAACAGCGTTCATCCTTTCAGGATAGCCTCAATCCATTTCGACGCTTGGAAGGACATGTTGAATTTGGAGACCAGGAAAAAATGATCAAGATTATGAGTCTTGGAAAACTGCAAAAAAGTACATATTTGTGGTCGTATATAAAAGACGGTTGAACCGGGAGGGTATTTAGCTGCTCTTTCTCTTTCGCACAACATGCACAATAATTGTTTTGAAAGTACGAAAAAAATGCTATCGTCATTGGTGCTGTCAATCTCCAACAAAGTTGTAGAGTCTTACGGAAATCATTACCCAGGGTGAACGCAAAAAAAACTGAGAAAAACAAAGTGTAAAATAAAAATGATACTGGAAATAACCTCAACTCTGACGCGAAATTCGTGGACTTGAATTATGAGTGCAAACAACAAATGCACCGATCATTGAAGAACAGTGCACATCTGGCACTCCAACTTGCTTTTACCAGGATTTCGAATTTCTTAATAGTTCTTTTTTTTCTTTTCTTAATTACTTTCTTAATTACCAGAAAAAGGATCTCTTAGCGGCTAATGTATTGTATGCGTTTGATCTCAGCATTCTACTGATCATTCGGATGTATTCATTTAGCTGGAGCTGATTCCAGTTGTTAGACCTGATAAACCCGGTGAGGTTGGTGTGCACCAAGTTTGAACTTTCTCGGCATTGCAGTGGGCGATCTACAGGGTGCGCCAAAATTACGGAGACAGCGACTTCGAGTTGCCTAGGATGAGCAAGGTGCAATTCTTTGAAAACAAAAATGCAGTGACGTGCACAGTCCCATTCTGAATCGTCGACATCCATGCAATTTTTGAAATTCCTTGGTTTGTGTTTATACGGGTCCTCAGAAACATCGAGGAACCATCGACTGTGGCACGCAATGTGGCGAGTAGGACTCGTCAAGCTCATTTTAGAGCGGTTTCTTCAACGAATCCCTAGACATAATGTGTTTTATGCAAGTCCCAGCTTCTAGAACGGAT